GCCCCTCTGAGTTTGTTAGCTAAGGCTACATTTACTCGTCCTCCACCACCCCCAAGCAGCTGGAAGGATTCCAAGAAGTCAGAAGCTGTCCAGTCGTATTCTGTCACTTCTTCAAAGTCTATAGGAGCATCACGGTCACTATAATCCTCGCCGCCGCCAGAAACGAGAAAAGGATTCGCCACGCTGAATTCCCGATTTACAGTCCCGAACAATTCCAAGTCCTTGAAGCGAAGAACCACTGTGCGGCAAATGCTGCGTAATAGCTGCAGGTGTTGGGCAAAGTCCCGCCGCGCTTGCGGAGAAGAAGCAGACGGAATTTCCCATTCTTGCATCTCGGTAACGTGGTCTCTGATAATCTCCAGAGGGTCTCTCGGGAGACTTTGACCATCCTCAAGCGACGGTGTGAAGTGTAGGTGAAAGGCCTGCCGCATGGCCGATCCTGAGGATAAAGCCCCTTCCATCGCCTCTGCTGCTTCATTGAAGTCGCTCATGTACTTCTGCATGCTCACATCGTCCAGTGGTAGCCGTGAGGCATCGTCTACTTGCAGCTGTGAAATCTTCAGGTACGATGGGAACGTGCCTGAAATAATGTAACGAGCCCCGCACACCACTATCACTGCAACCGCAGCAATTATAGCCTTGATCACTCGAGCCCTTTTTCCACTGTACCTCTTAGAAACACCAGTTCCACCTGCCTTGGCAGCGATGTCACTGTTGTCTGCGTTATCTGGGGCGGGATCTGTTCCCTCCCCTGCGACCTCAAGTGGATCCGACGCTTTTGGCGACAAGCTCCCTGCAATGCGTCGCAGAATTCCCATTATCTAAACTGAATGGAGGCACCCAAACCGTATAGTTGCCTTTAAGCGGACCGGTATGTAAATCTTCCACGAAGCAGCACAGAGCGGCCACCTCTAAATCAAAGAGGATCGGAGATGATTCTGATTGACAAGACGACGGTAACGGTTGAGAAAATTCGTGTTGAGACGAATTAATGGGGAAAACTAAAGTGTGAATACCTTTGTGTAACCATTGCGCAGCGGCTACTAACCTCCAGTGTAGAATGCCTGTTGCAGGGCCAGGCGCTGCATTGACGACAGAGAACAGCGTTAGGAAGTGGAAAGGACTGAAACGCATCCAAACAATGAATGCAATATCTTAGTGGAGAAGATGAGTGTCTGATGGTGGCTAGAGCATGTTGGCTCAGCTGCCATAATCACGTTTGGGAGTTGCATCGACCCTACGGGCGGCAACGCAATGCGAACGTAACGGTGCGAGCAGGAATCGCCAGTCCTTTTCTATCACTGAACAGAGCTCCAAGCAATCTTAGAAACAGGCGTTAGGTATTTCGGTGATGGTCTGAATTTCGTCGACGTGTTATTTTGGGTGTTGTTTCAAATTCATTTGATGTGTGCCGGTCGCAGAAGCCTCCTCACTTTGGGCGGCTGTAGTCACGTACCCAGCATGATATATGAACGCAGTGGAGAATGAGTGACTGGCAACACCCCGTGCGATATGCCACAAATTGATTAGGCGGATCGCTGTGAAGTGCAAATACACGAGTGAAGGCAATTTCTCGAGGCCACTGGGACATACTACCGTTTAGGTACTGTAGTGCACGGGCACTACAATAGCTCCTCTGTGTGGCCTCTAGAGACCTAGTATCATGAAAAGGAT